ACAAAACACACCACACCACACATCAGATTGCAAACACACACACACCACGCACAGCACACTCACTCACACACACAGACGACAAACACACACACAACACACTCACTCAACTACATCACACCACACACAGAAGACATTAACACACCAACACACCAGAGACAAACACACACAAACTACAGCCTCACACACCACAGAGACAAACACACAACCCACATAGACAACAACACCACACTCCCACTCAGCCCATAACACACGACAAACACACACAGCGGCACGCATGAGAGAGTTGTTATAGCGCAGATTGTTTCTGTATTTTAATTGTAACATGAAATTAGCAGAAATATCCTGGATTTAACAAAACGTAGAATAAAATGTTGGTTAGTCAGGTATAATCTCATTGGTAAAGCTGTCCAAATACAGTTTGTATCAAGTGTAAACAGGGCAATAATCTCTGTCAATGTTCACACATAAGAGCCTTATTACAGTTCTAGTAACTTTTAACATGTCACATTAAAATTAAGCACTCTGCTGTAAGATTGTAAGCCTGATTATTTTGTATTATACAAGTTTTTAAGCAGGTTAATTTCAGATTATGATTAATGTCCAAAATTAAAGCAAAATTAGAGTCGTTATTTGTGTTTGTAGTTTTCTCTGGCGCTCCAGCGTGCGTCATATTGTCCCACAGTGAAACTGAGACGCTGGCAGCAGTTCAGATGAGGAGGAGGGATAATTATTAATATACACAGTCAGAAATGTTACTAAATGTGAAGAATGGTTCACTCATTATGAGCTCTACAGAGGGTTTATTGTTGTTGTTATAACTGACATAGTAAGTGTATGTCTTTGTGTGTGAGCTTGTTTGTTCCGATCCTGTCCTGGCTCGTTAACGCCTCCTGACTGTGAGTGACACAGCAAGTGGGCGGGGCGCCTGCGTGTGGCTCAATAATGTCTGCGCCTGTTCGATCCAACAGTCTGAAGGTTAACGCGCGGTTAACTTTAATGTTTGTTGTTTGTTGTTGTTGTTACTCTCACAAGCTTTTGGTTTGTGTATGAGCACGCGGACCTTACACAACACCTGCGGCGGGAACGCGTGGCGGCTGTCCAGCTGTAGCATGTTAGCGTGTTAGCTTCCTGGAATGCTAACTGTTAAGCTCAGTGCTAACGCCAGTTTATAACTGATAATGACGTCACATCCACCAGATTAAATCAGCAGTGAATCACAGATTACGCACAGTAAACACAAAACAAACATAAAACAAACAGTAAGTAACAAGCTACATCTATTTCCTGTCATTTATTAACCACATTAATATGTTTAATAAGTATCTTTGATCTTCAGAGTATACTGCCAGCAGTTCGAGTAATCGGATTACTTCCAGTGCTGCAGTAACTAAGCAACAAATACACACACAACTTTATTGATACTGAGGAAACAAACAAATACAAATAAATAAATCATTCTGCAGAATGAGTCTTTTAATTTTTGTAAACTTGAGAAGAAATAATAAAAAACAAAATATATGTTAAATAATCTGCCTGTTTTCCTGCCTGTCCTGCCCTGTCTTCTCTCTGTCGTCTGCTATATGTCTGTCCTCTCTGTCCTGTCTCATCCTCTCATCCTCTCTCTGTCTGTCCCTCTCCTCCTTTCTGTCCATGTCGTCTCTCTCCCTGTCTGTCTGTCTGTCTGTCTGTCCTCTCCTGTCTGTCTGTCTCCAGGTGTCCATGAATGTCCAGAAGCAGGTAGTATCTAGGTGAGCTCCTGCTCTAATTCGGACAGTTCCAGAGCTTCAGGAGCGCAGGAGCCAAGTGAGCAGGCAGTCAACCAGCAGCTGAGGTAACAGGTGAGTCCACTGTCAGTCTCCACCTGTCAGTCTCTCTGTCCTGTCCCTCTCTGTCAGTCCTCTCTGTTCTCTCCTGTCAGTCTCCACCCTGTCAGTCTCCAACCTGTCTGTCTCCTCTGTCAGTCTCCACCTGTCAGTCTCTCTTGGTCCTGTCCTCCTGTCAGTCTCCACCCTGTCTGTCCTCTGTCAGGTCTCCAAAACTGGTCTGTCTCATCTTCAGTCTCCCACCCCTGTCAGTCTCCGTCTGTCCGAGTCTCCCACCTGTCAGTCTCGTCACCTGTCTGTTCTTCTTCTGTCATGTCCCACCCTGTCTGTCTCTCTGTCCAGTCTCCACCTGTCTGTCTCCTCTGTCAGTCTCCCCTGTCAGTCTCTCTGTCTGTCCTCCACCTGTCTGTCTCCCACCTGTCTGTCTCCTCTGTCTTCTTCCCATCTCTGTCTGTCCTCTTCTCTGTCCTTGTCTCCTACCTTGTCTCTTGCTCTCTGTCAGTTTCTCCTATCCTTTGTCAGTCTTCTCTTGCTGTTCTCTTCGTGTCTGTCGCCTCCACCCTGTCTGTCTGACCAGACGCTTCAGTGTAACCTTGTAGTTCCCCTGTCCCCAAGACAGGAGGAGGGCGCTGTCCTCGTCCGCTCCTGGTGGAGTATTACCTGGACTCGTCGTCCTCTCAGGCCGGTTCTCCCTCCTGTCCTCCATCAGAGACCTGCACCCACAAGGTCAGCCTGACTGTCTGAATCAACTGACTCATTTATCTCCACAGACTGTATTATTGATCATCCATTAACACCCCCCCACCCCCCGCCCTGCCAGGCCCTGCGGAGAAGCTCAATGAGTCTCCTGAGTAGTACAGTTGATCGCAGACGGCTGGTCCTGAACCTGGCTGGTCACTGATCAGGAAGCGCACCCCTCCGTGGGTTCATCACCACCCAGCCGCTTGGCCTCTGCTGCCGTCACTGCTGCGCTGCCTCAAGGTGACATCAATCCACCCATAGTAACCCGTAGTATTAATAATATATATATAAAGATTATATAACTTTAATCACTGTATAAAGTCTCTGTGGTTCAGATCTGTAAGGTTATAAAGGGATCAGAGGGAGGTGTAAAACATCAAATATAACATTATTATAACAATCATGTATAACGATTATTATAACATTATTCTAAACATCCATCTATAACATTATTATGAACATCATTATAACATTGATTATAACACTTATTATAACATATTATAAATATTATTATAAACATCATTATATACAATTATTATAACATCATTATAATATTATTATAATCAGTTACTTTATAACCATTATTATAACATTATTAATAACCTTTCATTCACTCTCTGGCCGTTGAGCCAAGGCACTGACAAACTTCTCGAACCTTCCTCAGACTGACAACTGAGTCCGTCCGTCCTGATCAACCCCGTCCCCGTCCTCATCAACTCTGTTACCAACATGATCCCTCAGGCCGGGGAAAACAACACATCTACGACTTCTTACGTTTCGGACCTCGCTTCCCTGGAGCTACAAGAAACCCTGGAACAACACACACACACACAGTAACACACACCCACACACCACACACACACACACACCACACGACAACACAGTAACACACAGCACAAGTAACACACACAAAGTAACCACACACACAGTACACACCACAAGTAACACCCACAACAGAGCACACACAACAGTAACACACACACACCAGCACAGCGTTAAGAATGGTTCTTTGGAGTTTGGTGAAGACAGTGTTGTCTGTAGCTACAGGCAGCTCTTTGTCTCCTGTCTTCTGATTGGTTGTTGGTGTGTTCTGATGGTTTGGGTATCTTCGTGATCTGGTGTTGGCGGTCTCTGATTGGTTGTGGTGTGTTCTTGATTGGCTGTCCTGTATGTCTCCTGCAGGTCAAATTGTCCGCCGTGGTCCAGCCTGGCCTCCCACCTCCCCATGCAGGTGTGTACTCTCCTGTGTCCACCGTCTGTATGGGATGTTCCGCTGTAACCTTCATCTTCCTATCTCTGAGACTTTTTGCACTACAGCATGAAGGAGAACCTGGACACTTCCAGGAGGTCCTCAAGGTCCAGTGCAGACACTTACCAGAGCCTAACTGCTATAGACCTCTAACGGACCGCAACTGCAGACCTCTACAGACCAAGCCTTGCAAGACCCTGCAGACCCATGCAGACGCTCTACAGACCACGTGCAGAACGGATGTCAAGTCTTTAATCTCTCTGATTATTGATTATTGATTAGTCTGTTGGAGCCATATTAAGAGTTTTGGAATTTAGAGAGATGAAATAATAATAATAAATGTAATAAATCTGTTTACTAACCCTGATTCGATAGTCTTAAGGACACTGAGACTGTTCACTTACCTGAGGAAGGTGTGATGTGTGTGTGCGGCTACTGGATTGTAGCCGCACACAC